TCAAAGGGGTAAACTTCTTGACCTGGAAGCTAGGGCAAAGCTGGTCCTTATGCACATCCCTGCTCATTCCTGAAAAGCAGCATTTGTGGCTGCTCTCAGGAGTCCTTGCCCTCAGCACTGTAGCTCCCAGGGTGATTTGGAAAAACAGGCCCATTGTGTTTTGTTAAACTACAGCACTGACAAGTCCAAGACATGCACAGGGATTTCCCACTTGCCTGTGAAATGGCCATGACAGGCCTTGAGAGGGACATGTTACCCCTTTGTCCTTCTCAGAAGAACAGGCAGCAACAACCCCCTTGAGATTAGGGTTCCCCTCGACATGCGGGAGATAGTTCAGTCTCCTCATCCTTACCCCTGAAACCACAGCAAGTCTAGTTTGGGAAGGAAGGCCAACTATTGCTCTCCCCTCCCAACCCCCTCAACTTGTTAGCAGCTGGAAGGGATCAGTGGGGCCGAAAATAAACCCCATGGAGATACTAGGGGCACTTTCTCTGTCCCATAGCAATTGTCTCAGGCTCTCTGTAGACTCAGGTAGGCATCACTGTATCAATTGCATTGAAGGCATCTCTACAGGAGCTGGTCCAGTTCATAGGCAGCAGAATGGGGTAGGCCACCTGGGCTTTGGCCCGACCAACTTTTAGCATGTTAATTTATACAACACACAAATGCACAATTGTCATTCTGGTTAAAACTGTATAGATATTTTTTAACTGCACAGCTAGCTAAATTAACATGCTAAAAGCTGGTCAGGCCATGTCCCAGGTGGCCCACCCCTTTTGCGGCCCATGGTCCAGTTTGTAAGAGGTCCATTTTCTGATTCTGGCCTTTATCAGAGACACAGGGCATTAAAGGTGACAGCAATGTTAACATGCAGGTAAAAAATTCCCCCAAAAAGTTACCAAAGTTATGGGCAGTTTTGAGGAGTCCCAGCCATCTTAATCTGTCTCCCCTATTTCCTATTGCCTCTGTCTGCTTGTTGCCATTTTTGGATAGGGTATTTATGGAGTCTAAAGGAACAGAGCACTGAAGATTTGTATTTCTCAACCTCATCTGTCTTTTGCGAATCCCACAATTCATTCATCTGAAAGTCAAGAAGACCACAGAGTTTGAGACAGAACAAGGTGGACATGGTGATATGTTTATCAAAACACTAAGAAGTACATAGCATAAAAGGCAATGGGAAGATGCCAGGCCACGTATGCCAGAGGTGATGATGGGCCTAAAATACACAGTTCCTGAAAGCATCTGAGTGCTTCTGAATTGTTAGGTGCCTAAATATCTTTGATAGTCTGGCCTCCCTATGATACAGATCTTGGCCCCAAAGCAGGACAAACAATTACATAATAGTCTAACTTAAAGATTAAAATTAAAACTTTTAAATATATCAACCCAGAAATGTTTCCCTCTGGTTCTCTGCTTCAGAGCTAAGCTGGATACCTGGGAACAGGTCCCACGTGGTCTAAGAGAGAGGTGGTTAAATCCCCTTCCAAAGAGAGAGGTGGTTAAATCCCCTTCCTACAGCCTCTAGTCTTCAGTTCTCTCTAGAGGCAAACTGGTTTGGGTCTCATTCTATCAGTCCAGTGGCAAACTGGTTTGGGTCTTGTTCTATCAGTCATGGAGTGAAGGTAAGATATCTGAGCGTTTAGCACCAAGATAAGACTGTGTTAGGGAAAAGGGAAATGCTATGCATTAATAGAAGAAATGTAAATAAAGACTCCTGTGACTAGAGGATCACATCACAAGCCTGGAAAAACCTGAGTAAGTAAACTGCAGCCAGTTTGTCATTGCGATGAAATGTATTTGGGTGGTAAAAAGATCTGTGTGTGTGTGTGTGTGTGTGTCCCCGTGTCATTTAAGAACTTGAAAATGAGATAAACGAAGAGATGTAGAAGACAATGTAAATGTATTAAATGTGCTCAAGCTGGGCGGGGGGGGGGGGGGGGAAAAAAAAAAAAAAACAAAACAACCAGAAAAAATGCCCCCCAAAAAACAACAAATCAAAATGAAAGAAAACAACCAGAAAAAAACTCCCCCCAGAAAATTTCAATTTGTCACCCAGAACCTATCTATTATTTCAATTTTTAACAACTGGATATTTTCAAGCAAAACTGAGAGAAAAAAAAAATCACATTTTCTTCTTTCCCTCTTTGAACCTTTTTATGTTTTAATTTTAGTGTTGACAGTCTACATAAGTTGACAGTTTTGAAGAAATAGAAATACTGTGACAAAGGCTATTTTTAGAAAAAAACCCTTCTTTTTATAAGGAAACTTTAATGGAAACAGACCTCCAGCTCTAAATTCAAAGCCTGATTTGAGAGCCTCAGCAATGCTCAGAAATAACCCAATTCCAGCCCCCTCAATATAGTGGAGTTCAATATAAAATCATTGTGGACAAGGTCAGAAAGGGTTCTTTGGGTAAATGTGATATCTTTTATTAGACCAACTAAATAGTTGGATCAATGTTTTTTTTAGAAACATTTGGACACAAACACCCTTCTTCGGGCATAGGGAGAGTGTAAAGGGTTCTGGGTGACAAATTGAAATGGATGGATGGATAAATTAAAATGGATCCATTTCCCTGGATGGAATAGAAACCAGTGTGTAAAATGCAGGTTTGTGAAAATGCAAATGCTTGACAGTGAGGATCAGAGACGAGATGAGACAATGGGTGGCAAGGACAAGGTGACACTTAGATGCTACTCGTAGCTCAACTGTTTGCACCTGGGAAGAGGAAAAGAAGCTGAGTTAGCATTTTGTTGAGCACAGCACTACTAGCTAAACACAAATGCTTTAAAACACTGTGTTGAGAAAACACATAGAAAGCAGCAGCTACTCCGACCCAAGAGAGGTTCAAGTAGGGCTGTGCCCCAAGGAGGAAAACAGGAAAGCATGCGAATTAACCCAAGGGAGGTGAGAGTAGGGATGTGGCCCAGGGAGGAAAACAGGAAAGCATGCCAATTCTAGCAGGTCAATTGTAAAGCATAGTAAGGCAGGCCAAAAAGGAATTTGAAACGTGTTTGTGAAAGAAGGAAGAAGAATTCTTTAAAAGTATATCAGAAGCTGGGTAGTAAGCTGGGCAGTAGAAAATACTGGGGAGATGCCCATGCTAAATCCACACTAAATAAATGCAGAGAGATCAAAATGAAGTGACAAGGGAGGAGGTTTAAAAGCAAATCCATAAATTAAAACAGTAAGCAAGTGACTGGGATCTGATCATATTCCCTTAGAGAGTTGTGTAGGAATTTCACTGTGAAACTGCAGGGCTGCTGCTCATAGAATGTCACCTAGCAAGGGCCTCCATACCATAAGATTTTTGGGTTGAAAACACAACACCCAACTTCATCTTGGGAAATATAGCCCAAGGTTTTTCACTTCTATCCCTGGAACTCATAGAATGTCACCTAGCAAGGGCCTCCATACCATAAGATTTTTGGGTTGAAAACACAACACCCAACTTCATCTTGGGAAATATAGCCCAAGGTTTTTCACTTCTATCCCTGGAATTTGATAGAAGATATAGTAGGAATAAAATTAGCAGTCACATGGATATAGATGATGTTTAGGGGAAGTGTCAGCATCATTTTTGTAAAGGGAAATTCTATCCCAACCATCTGCTGGAGATCTCTGGCAACATCAGTTAGCATGTGGGCAAGCGGGGTGCAGTTGATCGAATCCAGTCCAGTGCAGTCCAACCCAGTCCAGTCCAACCCAACCCAATATCAGGAGCTTTTGACAAGGTCCCTCACTGAAAGTTCTTAAAATTGACCTTTTGGCAAGGGACTATGGGAGTGAACAGAAGGTCTTTTAATGGATCAAGACATGGTTAAAAGACACAAAACAAAGGGTCGGGGTAAATGGCCATTTTTCAGGTTGGAGGAAGGACAAGAGCGGAGTCCCCTGGAGCTCTGTGCTCGGGACAGTTTTGTCCAATATGTTCACCAATGATCTGAGTGAGGGGGTGCACAGTGAATTCTCAGGGTTCCCACAACATACTAGCTATCCCAGGTGGTGAAAGTCAAAGCTGATGGTGAGGAGCTGTGGAGAGATTTCACAAAATTAACCCCCTACTCGATGTAATGAGAGACTGCTGTTCCTGGGCCACTGATGGTTCAGTAGTTCTTGCCTTGCTTCTGTTAGGAAAATATCAAATGCAGAATTACTTCCTTCTAAAAAGAGCATATGGATGATTTTATTCAAATGCTGTTTCTGATGGTTCATAGGTGACTGTGTCATCACCTCAGGCCACTGTTCTTCTTCCCCAGCTGGTTCCCAGGTCTGGCTATATCCCGTCAGTGTGCCAGTTTGCTGAGGGGAGATGGTTTTATTCATAATTAGTCCTTGGAGGAGAAGGGGTAAGAAGGCAATGAAACAAGATGCTCCATGAGTCTTTAGAGGATCAATGAAGTGAAGTGTCTTGTCTTAATAAGATGCAGAAGAGATATAAGAATATAAAAGTTGGAAAACCTGGCTACAGAAATCATACTGCATTTTATGTATAATAGATTCAAAGCTACAAGAGTGAATTAAGACATTTCCAAATGTTTTTGCTATTAATTCAGATAAAGTTATACAGCTCACAGGGAGTGGTGTGGAGGATGGGGTGGGAATAGGACCTCAAAGGAAATCAAATTTTGCATAATATGTTTTATTTCTCATGCATTTCTTTCCAGAATACATTTCCTAGGTGAGATGAATACATTTCAGACTTACAGGGAAAAAAATAAAAAATAAAAATCCTGACTTGAGGCTGGGTTAACGTTTTCTTCACTTTTTAAAAGGAATAACATAATATTTTCTTTTATGTAAGGTCTTGTTAGGGAAAAGTAATCTATTAAAATCAAATTATGCATAGGGCAAAAAATGGAAGATCTACATTGTTAGCATGAAATCCGGGGATGTTATTGATAGGAATATCAAAGCTGCCGAGTTTGTTACTCTCCTCCTTACCACTGCCCTTGTTTCATTATACCCAGGACTTGCACAGTGCCCCGGGAGGGAAGATGCCCAACTGCACCACTGTAACCGAGTTCCTCCTCCTGGGCTTCTCTGACACTCGGGAGCTGCAGATCTTACACTTTGTCATCTTTCTCACAGCATACCTGGCAGCTCTGGTGGGGAACCTCCTTGTTATCACTGTTGTAACTACGGACCACCACCTCCACAGCCCCATGTACTATTTTTTGGCAAATTTGTCCATCCTTGACCTTGGATCCATCTCCGTCATTGTCCCCAAGTCCATGGCCAATTCACTCTTAAACACCAGGACAATTTCCTATGCTGGGTGTGTCTCCCAGGTCTTTTACTTGTTCCTTTTTTGTACAGCTGGTTTTGCACTCCTAACTATCATGGCATATGACCGGTACATTGCCATCTGCAAGCCACTGCATTATGAGATAATAATAAACAGGAGAGCTTGCATCCAGATGGCTGCCAGTGCCTGGGTTGTTGGTGCCATCAACTCTGCACTGCACACTGAGAACACCTTTAGTCTACCCTTCTGCCACTCAAATATCATCAACCAGTTCTTCTGTGAAATACCCCAGCTGCTCAAGCTTCAGATCTTCACCGCAGTGTGGAGAATCCCCTCGGAGCAGGGCCGGCAGAAAGCCTTCTCCACCTGCATTCCTCACCTTATCGTGGTCTCCCTGTTTCTTTCCACTGCCGGCATTACCTACTTTAAGCCCATCTCGGACTCCCCGTCCCCCCTGGATCTCCTGGCAGCTGTTCTGTATTGTGTGGTACCTCCATTGATGAATCCGGTCATCTACAGCATGAGGAACAAGCAGATCCAAGCTGCCCTCAAGCAACTTCTCCACAGGCTGATCCTCTCCAAAACCAATCTGCCCATCTTTGTTTCATGACTTTGCTTTACTTGTATTTCTTTTATAATTATCTCATGAAATCCTTGTTTTCATACTATAGTGTACAACCTATTTCTAAAAAATGAAGGTGGTGGGTTAATTCTGTAGCTCTGTAAAGGCAATGACACTTGACTTGGGTCATTTTATGTAAATACTTTTGAAGCAGTAAAATAATGTTTCATGCATCAATTTTACCGTCTGTTCCACCTGAAATAAATGCCACCAATTGCAAGATGATGAATGGAAGACTTTTGTTTACCAGTTGGTGTAATCCATTATTTGGATATAGGCAAATATTCAGATTCTGTGAAGGTGGGATGAACTGCAGATACTTTAGAGGATAGGTACAGAATGGAGGTTCAAATGGATGTGGGTAGACTGGGAAGCTGGGCTAGAAACAACAAGACAAAGTCCAAGGAAACAAAAGCAGATGCTGCACCTAGGGGAGAATCATCAAAAGCACAGATACAAATAGGGTTATAAATGGCTGGGTAGTATGATTGTTGAAAAGGATCTGAAGGATCTGTGGGGTCTGGTGGATCACAGACTCAATATGAATCAGAAATTTGATGTAGCAACAGAAACATTAATGCAGTTTTGTGCTGCAGCACCAGGAGTATTAGAGGTTAAACATGGGAGGTGATAGTACCACTTGACATGATGCTTCTTACCCCCTCGCATCTTCTCCTTGCAGTCCCGGTGCTGCTTAGCCCCTCTCTCAGGCACAGGGCATCACAAGGCCTGGGATCCCAAGAGCTGTGCAGTTGGGCACTGTCTCCCACTTCAGGACAATTCCCCCCTGTCTCTGAAACTCAGGCCTGACCCTTGTGCCCCCTGCCAGCCCAGAGCTGGCACTGAGGAAACCTGGAGCATCCCTTGGCTGCTGCAGGGTAGGAACAGTCCTGCACACAACTGCTCCCACTGGGAACAGATTTGTTCCTGATGCAGGTGCACATGTATACATGTGCCCAGGTGCACTTTAGCGGGCTGAGAGTGGTTCATGGTAAAAACTGTTTTGCCATATTGTGCTGAGATGCTACTGCACAGTACTGTAACAGCTGCAAAGCTTCCTGAGCTGCTAGCTCGGTGGGCGCGCCATGTTTGGCACCCTTTGCAGAAAAGCCAGAAAATGCTTGCACCGGGTCCTATGGCTTTTCCAAGCAGGAAAATACACTCTGCACCATGCATGCTTTTTATTGGACCATTTGCAATGTAATCAGAGCTCCTGCTGCAAGCTGAGGCCTCTGATTGGTTGTGCTTGTGCATTTAAGCATCCATAATGTGTGAAAGGAGTAGAGGAGGATCCAATTCCAACTTTGAGAGAGAGGGGAAGAGACACAGCCCCCCACTCCCTCACTGGAATGTGAATTGAGACTTGCTCTGGAAGCCCGCATCAGGACAAGGAAGAGCCTGTATAGCACCATCAGAAACTAATTTCCTCACCAGGCGTGGAGCTGTGCAGCTTCTGGACACAGGTGTCCCCAGGAGAAGAGGGAAAGGGAATGGCTAGCCTCAGCTGGTAGGCTGTTTGGGAGCTGCCAGGTCAGAACCCTGCAGGCATGGGTGACTGGTGCCACTTTAGTCAGGTGGGGCATGTGCCCCCTCAGCAACCAGTCTGTGACTGTGGGGGGTGGAGGTCCCCTCATGGCCAGTCTCACTGATCGAGGTTGGTGGGCCCTGCACAGCCAATCGTGTCAACTGGGAAGCAGCCACGGCACTCCTGGAAATGGGCACAGTGCTCCCAGAAGTGGCTGCGGTGCTGAAGAAGTGGGTTCAGAGCCTCAGAAATGACAGGAGCTGTGTCCACACCATCTAGTAGCAGATCCTAGCAATAACTGTGTGACTATTTATCACAATGAGAGGAGAGGTTTAATTCTAAAAGGAAACTGTTTTTTTTTTTAATCAAAAGGATATGACCAGGTGACTAATCAGTGCGGGAGGCTGGTGTAAGGGAATAACCCCCTATGTCAGAATTATTCATTTACAGTTACATTGCTAGATTGTATTCAAATGATTGGTTTTATTATTCTCTATTCATAATATATATATGGATATATGCCTTCTTTTTCATTAATCCATCTCTCTTCCTGTATATAGTTATATATATAATAAAGAAACCCATCTGTTCATTGGGTTTGGAGTAAATGTTTGGGCGGTGAGGGTGAGGGGCACACCCCAGTCAGCAGATCTGCCTGAGGGAGGTCCCAGGGCTACTGGCACCTTAAGGATCTCAAATCTGGCATATCACCTGCCCTAGCACGCCGGTGAAGCTTACTGTAGTATTAGGCTACTGCACAGTAGCATCACATAAAAGGTGTTTGCTGGTGCTACTGTGTAGTAACTCTGGTTACTGTGCACTTATTTAATACATAACTTATACACGTACTAAGTAGATATGCAGTAACCAGAGAGCAGTAGTGTCTTGTGTAGATGCACCCACTGGACCCCTTTTTAATGAACAGTAACCTTGAGGTAACCCGACACTTAAAAAAAAAAAAAGCCCTGCACTCACTGGGTGCTGCAACAGCTGTCGTAGCCTCTGGGGGCTCATTGCAGAGCCCCCCCCCACACAGCCTGGGGTAGTGGGGGGCAGTGGGGGATTGCCCCCCTTCCTGGCAGGAGCCAGTGAGTGAGGGGCTTTTTGCTTCTTTTTTTTTAAGGTGTCGGGATGCTGGGGCTGGGCGGGGCAGCCATTGATGGGACTGAGATTGCAGGCGGGCGATTGTGTCTGTTCAATTTGAAGATTTGGCCAATTTGACAGCGGTCGAATCTCCAAATCAGATTTGGCTGAATCAATTCGGGACAGTGATTTGAATCACTGAATAGAATCACTGTCCCCAGAACCAGACAAATCCTACTCCGAAGTGAATACTAACCGCTTCACGCAGGCTTACCACAGATGATACATATCCTGGCCCAGAAGTAGGAAACAATAGATAAATGATGATTAAACTAAAGAATCAAAACATAACTTTTTTGCTTTAAAAGACATGAATCCAGCAAGGCTTGTTTCTGATTCTGTGCTTCAGAGGTAAGCTGGGCTCTAGGGAATAAGTCCCAGGAGCCCTAAGAAGAGAAATGTGGATAAATCGCCTTCCTGCAGCATCAGTCCCTCCAAACCAGTGAAGTTCACTGTGATCTGCAGAGAGAAACTGGTTTGGATCTACTTCTGTCAGGTCAGTCTTGGGGTGGAGATCGCTCCTACTAAGATATTTTGACTTGTGAAGGTGTGGTAGTGGCAGGGAACAGGGAAATTGAATAGATCAGTAGTGGGAAAATAAGCAAAGAATCTGGAGGATCTATCGTAACCTGAGAATAACTCCACAAAGACTGTTGCAGTAAGTTTTTAATAGCGATTAAATACGGTTAGTTGGCAAGAAGGGTGGTGTGTGGGGTATTTAAGAACCTGAAAATGACATTGAAGTGGAAAGCTCTCAGCATTTTAATAGCAAGGTATTCAAAATTCTTCAGCTGGTCAAAGGAAAAAAGAAAAGAAAAAAAGAAAACAGCTCCCTTTAGAAATCTGAACTTGCTACCAGGAGCCCACACATTTCAGTGTTTCGGCAACTTGAGGTTTTTTTAATCAAAAGCTCCTGGAGGCTGCACATCTTAAACCAAATTATCCCTCCACTCCCATATTGATAGTTCTTCCTCATAAATTGATGGTTTTGAAGAAAATACATGTATTGTGAGAAAGTATATATTTAGCAAAAGACATTTTTATAAGAAACATCTTTCTAGGGTTACATTCTAAGCCCCATGGCAGAGATTCAGCATTGCCCAGCAACACCAGGATTACAATCCCACCTCAGTCATTGCATCATGATTTTGTTGTTTTTTCCAGAAAAAATGCTTGGAGGAGGGAGAACTCAGTAAGCCCCACAGTTGATCCCCCTGAAATGTCTTTTACATATCCGAGTGCCTCTCAAATTAGGGTTGGGGGACCCAACAAAGTGTGATGAGCAAATGCATAACCAGAAGCATCCCTTGCCCAAAAGAGCTTCAAGTTCTTGTACCAAAATGACAAAGATCAAAGGCACAATGTGGAGATAACAGAAGGATGGTATTGCCGTATCATGGCATAGAGATGACCGTCCGGATGGGGACAGGGACCATTAAATCAGCTAATTGCCACATGGCAGGCACTACTCAGATTCATTTCAAACAAGGTGACACTTAGGATGGTGTCTATGCTTATGCAGTATATACCAGGGAAGGGGAAAGAGGGGCATGTTAGCAGTTTATTGACCAGCATCTTAGTGTATTCACAAGTGCTGTGTTCAGTGTGCCTCATCTTGATGTTTCCTCAGCTTCTTGCTTTTCCTGTTGTTGCTATTAAAAATCAAATACAAAATGCCACACTCTGGTCTGCCAACTTGCACAGGGGGGTAGACCATGTGCCTGTTGAGGCCCCTTCTAAACCTTTGACTTTATTATTCTAATATAATAAAAGGTTTAGTCTGTCTGTCTGTCTGTCAAGCTTTTGTATTACTATGCATGTGCCGATTGGCTGGGCGGGCTGGGCGGCCAGGGACAGGGCCAGCTGAGTTAAAACAGGAGCCCCTTTTCTGTGCCACCTTCTCCTGCAGCCCCTGGTGCAGTGGCTCTCCCCACCCCACCTCCACAAAGGCAAGAAAAAATAATAAATTGACACGAGCACTTCAGAAATTGTGGGGCCAGCTGAGGAAAACCAGAAGCCCCTCTGTCATAGTGGGGTTCGACCTGAAAGGGGGGGACTGGGGTCAGGCCCTAACTCTGCGAGAGGGGGGTTGGGGCAGACCCAAAGGGGCTGGAAGGAAGGGGGCGGGTTCGGACCTGAAGCTGGGAACCCTGTGGGACCTGAATGGTGGGGGAAGAGGGCTGTTGCAGACACAGAGTGGAGCTGCATGGGGGCAGGGACTGGCCTGACCCAGGGAGGACGGGGGGAAGAAGTTTGGACCCAACCAGGGTGAGGGGAGTGGGGAAGGGTCAGACCCAAATTGGTGGGAGGGGGGGAAGGA